CGTTTGGTCCACTGGAGTGCCCTGTGGGTGTGCTGTGGGTCTTTTAGAGCTTTTTGGTTAAAAACAGCTGCTTGCTTCTGCTGCTGAAAACATGTTGATGAGAACACAGAGACATCAAAATGTTAAAGTAGTGGGCTAACCAAAACCAAAATCAAAACAATGAGTTAAACCATGCTAAAAATCTGTACATGACCCATTTCATATTGCAGGCAGAAATTTGATCCAAAAGAGGGTATAGAATTATTAAAAATGTCACTGAGGAATAAAAAGTTTGATTGTATGCAGTTTAATAATGTGCACATACAGACAGGTGATTTAATGTGATGATGAAGCAGACATACTGGGTATAGTGATGGTTAGGGTTAGGGTTAGTGTGACTGACTGACTGAACTGATTTTATCTCTCAAAACATTAAACAGAGGAGAATATTATCTTTTCCAGTGGCCTACTGTATCTTTGCACATTGCAGTTCAGTGTGATTCTGATTATCTTTAGTGATACAACAGCTTATGAAATCTCTGGCCGATAAATTTGTCAGACTTGATTAAAAAAACATTAGTAGTGTAATGGAATTTTTAAAAAGAGAATGAAGCAGTAGAGGAATAGAGTCGGAGAGTTGAATACACCATTTAAACAAGGCTGGAATTCATCTCTTTGGTTTTAAGAGTAGTCTTATATTTTCACCCACTTATGTGATAGAGCTGGAGAGCAGAGATGACTACATATATATGAAATGTTTATATTCTGCTGATCCAAAGCAAAGAGTTCCATGTATTAGGAAAGCTTGACAGAGGGGTTTTACACAGTGAGAGGACACTTAGATATGAGGTATTTATATTTGGCACATACTACAGAGCTGGCTCCAATATTTTGATTGAATATGTTGAACTGATACAAAAACTAAACATTTTTAACAACAAAAATATGAATGGTGGATTATAAAAACAACATTTCTGAGGAAAATGTAGTTACATATACCATGCACATTTCATATGAATCTTCATTTGAAAGATATACTATTGATTTTAAAGGTTATGTAAAAGAATTTCACTGGCCACTAGATGTTGCACTAAAGCACACCAGCATCTCAGACCAAAACAATAGGCTGTACATCTGACCAGACTAGTGACAAGATCAATAATTTCACCTTGCAGATAATTGTAAAAAACACTTCTTTAAGTATCAGCACCTCTTTCCATGTTGGAAAAGGTGATAGCGATCTCTCTGGCGGTCACGGTCAAGTGTCTTTATCTATGACCTACTTGAATCTAAATCAGTAAGTCCTAAGAGAATAGGAGACTTGCTAAGTGTAGTGACAGATAGAGAGATAAGAAAATATGAATGGGAGCAGGCATGCCATGATGTCTGTGTTTATAGGATTGCCAAATGATCAGATCATTTTGACTTTACATTATCACAAGTAATAAAGAGTCAAACTACCAGAATGTCCATAACAGTCTATTCTTGGTCTGTTCTCTGAGATTTTAAGGCTTAATAACATAGAGAAAATAATCATTACTTTCTCTCCTTCGCAAGCTAGAACCTAGAAAGATTTTATATGAGTCAGTGGTTGAAAAACTTCTCTCAGTGTCTTGCCTTAGAGAAATTAACCATTGCTTTCAAAGCAAGATAAGAATATGTGGCAGTTTTCCTACATTTCTTGGAAAACAACTAGGAGGGAGATTGACATATTAAAATGAAAGATTTTACCACATCATGTAAAGCTTCTTCTATATCCCAGTTGTACCAACTCTGTGTAAGTTCAAACTTAGCCTAGTTCTAATGTAAATTTTTTACAAAGTTGTGATTTCTGAATAATTAAAATCAAAGCAGTTGCACCACAAGTTACAACCTAACTCTACGTAACAACTACACAGTTACACATTCCCTAAAGTATTGTAAATCTGTGTCACAGATCACAATCAGAATCTTACTCACTGATTTTAAAATGGCAGTTTTTCATGTATTCATTTTATTCATTAATTGAAAACATTTTGCAACACAGTAATCAAGTAGAGACCTAATTTATTGATATATTTCAATTTCGATCTAGCTTACTACGATGTGCTATGACGCTAAGTGCAACCCAGAAAACTAATGTACATGGTAACCATGGTGATCTCTATCTTGATAGTTGATTGGCCACTTGCCTTAGTTATGATTTTACGTCAAAACTAGTTACATAACGCTCCAAGTAATGATGGTGAAACCAAGTTTAGTGGCTGTTACAAACTAACTAGCAGTTACTGAGCCTCTAGCATCGACTTCATTACTTAGGAGTGTCTAGCTTTGTAACTCACTCTCAGGACTTACACCATACATGTAAGATGTCTTTTATAATCATTTAATACATTTATATAACATGATTTATTCTTGTATTTCTAATTATTTTATTATTTTTAATAGTAATGTACTTATTTATTTGAATTTTTAAATAATCTACATATGTTATGATCGTTCATATTTATCCTTATTTTTAATTAGCTTTATGTAAAGAATACGGACAGGGATAGGACAGGGTTACGAGGGGATATGTTTGTACATTCATCGATGTGAAAAATGGCAAAAAATGTATGAGACAGGAAAAGTTATGATACAAAATTATTAAGACTATACTGATTAAATTTGTGTGTATGTTTTGTTGTCCAGGAGGCCGTTATTTCTCCCGTCTCCCCCGATGTGCTGTACCTGTTTCGAGTCCAGGCCGTCTGCATGAATGACATGCGCAGTGACTTCAGCCAGAGCATGCTGTTCAGAGGTAACACACACACACACACCTCCTAGACCTCAAGTGCTCACGAGTTGCTGCCACATTATCTCTAATGTTATCATAAAGGTCGACATGAGCACCAGCACGTATCTCATTCATGTACACAGCCCTCTGTCAACAAGACACACATATTATCTTACATTTGTGCAAACAGTATTATCTGACAGTTATGATTCCTTTGATCATAATATCAAATCTTTCATATTCACATTTATGTGAGTTCAGATCAACAGCTGCAAGCTAAAAGAAGAATAACAGGAAAAGAAAGGAAAAAATTAAGAGCAAGCTGCTCAAATGCAGTGAGATACATTTATTTCATCTAACTACATTCAGTTTTTTGGGTGCCTCATCAAGTATTCAGCGCCTTGCATTTACACTCTGTCACATTGTGATTAATGTGCTTACAATGCACTCATGGATGTCTTATAGACGCCGCTTCAAGTGAAGTGTTGTCTGATTGTCTCTCCTGTGTTTAACTGGTGAATTATCCTGTTTTTTCTCTCTCCTGCATTTCAGCAAACACCACCAGGATCTTTGAGGGGACAAGGATTGTGAAAACTGGAATGGTAAGGGAAGCAGAGGTGAATCACTACTATTGTCGTTCCACATTTTATCCAGCAGAGAGCAGTGTCTCTATTATCATCATTCTTCCATGCGTGGACAGGAATGTCATCAAATCAAACAACTTGAGGATATCTTGCTTAATTTTATGCCTTAATCTAACCTTTACTTTGTCAAGGGGTACAAAAATAAGCCTACAATAAAGATACATAAACATTGATGTTAGAGCAGGCCAATGCACACAGGCAATATTCTGGACTTTTCACTAGACAAAAAGGACCTGTATCCTGGAGGATACAATGGTAGACAAGTTCATGAATCTGTATCCAGATCTGTATATAGTATTGTATCTTATCATATCATATCAAATTTGTACATTTCATATGAATCAAACAAACAAGTAAGTATATAAAATATAATGTTGGAGATCAAATTATTCTATTACCTACATCAGTGGTTCCAAACCATTGTGACCTGTGAGACCTGTGAGAGAAGTTATATAACTATCCTTAAGACTTGGTCTGTAAATGATCAGATTTGTTGTTTTATCTCTTATTCCATGCACATTTCAAATCAATCTATTAATCTTGAAATTATAAAATGGTTTTGAGGTATTCAAGGTGTTGCATTCAGACACAAGACTGAATATAGAAGTACTTGTGTGAAGAATGAAAAAATAAAACTTGAAAGAATTGTTCAAACCTTTTGGTGTGAGGTGACGGTTTCAAAAAGTCATAAAAGTTGTCAGATGTATATCATAAAGGTGGGGAAAGCAATTTCATATCCAGTTTGACAATGCAACAAGTACTTTGATGCAAGCATGCTGATATTATTCCATTAAAATAAAAATCACAATCACAATGACCTGAGTGTAGAGTTTTCCCTCCCAGATTGTAATTTTATAGGTCACCAAAAAGGTTAAATTATCCAGTATTTCATGCGATACAATACGATTCACCTCTATTGCGATGCACAGCGATTCAAGACAATTTGATTTAACACAATATATTGCTAAAGAATACAGATACAGGTAGTTTGATAAATATTTTTACTGATGCAAAGATGTTAGAAAAAATGCATCCTGTGTTCATCCCATATAGTATCAGATGTTTTCTTGTTGTTCAATCACATCTTGAACTTCAAAATGACTAGAAAAAGAAGAAAATATACTTTATTGATCCCCTAGGGGGAAATTATTCTTTTCACTCTTTTTTTGTATACAGACACACAGGCTGAAATGCACACTTCATTCTTTGGAGCATGGATGATGGGGGCTTTGGCAACATTACCGGCTCCCCATGGAGGCAGGTTTTTGGGGTGTAGGTTGGCCTTGCTCGGAAGGCCACCTCAGCAGGTGTGCGCAGGAGCGGTGAAGACTGGCCTCTCCAGCTACCATATTTTTTGTGGTCTGTGGGACTTAAAGCGGCGACCCTCCGGTTCCCAAGCCAAGTCCCTACACACTGAGCTACTGCAGCCGCAATAAACGCTAAACTTTAAAAAAAAAAAAAAGTTTACAGTATCAGTCAGAGAAAATGAACATAATCATGTGTACTCTTTTCTTTCTTATACCTTTAGTCATCTTGTGACTGGGGAATTAACCCTTAAATATACCTTGAAGGGTTAAACTACTTAGTCAATAATTCCACATTGCCTGAGGAGGGAAAACAGAAAATTTAAATTCTAATGGGTAAATTGTTTCTTTCTCAGCCTACAGTGTCTCCAGCCTCCTCAGCCGACATGGCTCCCATCTCCTCTGGCTCATCTACCTGGACCTCCTCAGGCATCCCCTTCTCCTTCGTCTCCATGGCGACTGGCATTGGTCCATCCTCCAGCGGTAGTCAGGCAACAGTGGCGTCTGTGGTGACCAGCACTTTACTGGCCGGCCTGGGCTTTAGCGGTGGTGTCATCTCCTCCTTCCCTAGCTCTGTTTGGCCAAGCAGAGCACTTACACATAATCCCACCTCCACACACCAGACCACCGAACCCACCAAGCCTGCCAAAGACGCAACCACCTCCGCCTCTGCTGTTGTGGCGGCCACAGCCAAAGACAACGGTGAATCTGGGGGTGAGGACAGAGAGAACAGCAAGGGTCAAGGAGAGGACGGAGAGAGAGAAGGAGAGGAGAAGGATGAAGAGGAAGAAGAAGAAGAGAAAGAGGAGAAGAAGGAGAAGAAGGGTTCAGGGGGTGTCGGAGGGGCAAGGAGGAAGGACAGCAGCACAGCGATGAATGAGCCGCCTTGCGAGACACCGGATGCCACTGCAAAGGAGAAAAAACAGACTGAACCAGATCCGACTAACTTGACACCTGGTGTAGAAGACCAACTGTATACCCATAATCCACTTGACTCTAACCCAACTACCACCACAGAGACAACCAATGAAACGGCAGCATTTCCTTTTCCCAAGGATCCAACAGCAACACACAGACCCAGAAGAGAGGGGCACAAGAAGCATTGGCCCTTCTCCATTCATACTGGTGAGTCAACTGATCGATTGATTTAGATCCAGTAGCAGAATCAAAAGTTCCTGTGGAAGATTTAGTGGCATCTAGTGGTGTAGTTGCAGATTGCAACTCCCTCGCTTAATCTTCCCCTTCCAAGTGCGAAAGAGATATTATGGTGGCTGCAAAACAGACAAAAAGTGTGAATCCCCCTATCTAGAGCCAATGTTTGGTTTGTCCGTTCTGGTCTACTTTAGAAACATGGTGGTTCCACATGATGACCACATGCAAATCCTAATGTACAGTTCCACAAATTCAATTTCCATGACAAAAACATCTTCATGAATCACCTTTATATCTGCCTACCTCAATAGCTTGTTTGCAAATGACGTCACGTCACCACGTTTCTGTGGCACACTCATAGGTGAGAAAAATGCAAGAAATTGACTGAACAATGCCAAAAGATAACTGATTGAGAGTACTTCTGTGGACGGGGCAGCAGCAAAACATGGCCTATTTTTAAAAGGTGTGTGCTAAATTTAGAATATTTTTCACCTCTACCACCTTTACCCTTTCCAATGGAGAACTAGACTGTTATATCCAGCTATGCTCTCTCCAAAGCCACCAGATTCCTTTCACAAAAACGGTCATTTTACTTGCAGAACAGGGGAGTTTCTGGTCGGCCGCTGCCTCAGTCCACAGCAACTAATGTTAGTTTGGATCCAAATCAACATGTTAAAACTTCACACAATAACAGCAGTAGACCAGCATTCTCTGTTCTGTGGCATAAAATTACCGTTTTTATCAAAGGAGTCAACTGACGTCGTAATATAAACAGAGCCATATTTAGACGTCAGTTATTCTCTGAATCACGTCCAGTATATGTTGGCATCTTATGTTTGTACCTTTCTCTCCAATATTGTTTGGTTTGCCAGTGGTAGTTGACTAGTTCTTAACTGGGCACATAGGGACCTATACCTTCTTAAATTAAATGTTATATAAGGTTTTGTGTAGTAATCTTCCTTTATTTGAACAAAGTTTCTAAGCTTTGGCTTATACTAAATCTTCTCAATTAGAACACGAAAGTATTTGCCAAACTATAGAATTATCAACTTCACTTTTCTCGTACAAATGGTGACACTGACTGACACTGACTGCAGTTACATGCAGTTCTTTTTCTCCCTCTAAATGTCCACAATCTGTTAAAGGAATCCATGTATCTTCTCATTGCATGGCCATGCAATAAAATAATAGTGCACATTTGAAAAGTCCTCAAAAGCACTTGTCTCTCCAAAGGTGTTTTTTCAAGTGCTCTCAAGTCAAGGCAGTCTATTTGAAGAATCGTTAAAATTTTATATTTAATCCAAAGCTTTAAAATGTATGTTTGAAGGACCTCTTAATGTGAGGTTAGACAGACAAAAATGTGATATTTCTACTTGTTGAATGAATTGAAATCATGTATGTCCTTGCAGATTTAATGTGATACCTGGGGTCTTTTTTGTGCAAATAAATTAAGTAATAATAATAACACATAATGTGACAGAGAGTCACACTATACTGCCCTCGCAAGGAGTAGTCCTAATCCACTGCTAGACAGTTAGTTAACAGACCATTGTAGTCCTTAGCAGTACTATTACACTATTACACAACACAGTACACATAACATAACAAATGCGATACCTTAGAATGAAACATTTTTATCTACTGACATCGCAGTTTTGGAGGCCGCCAAGTGGAATCATGTTTCTACAGTAGCCCAGAACGGACAAACAAAACACTGACTGTAGATAGGGCAGTTGTTTGCATGTTTCACGGACACTCTAGTTTCCCCCTCACGTTTGGAAAGAGAGGGTGCAGTGAGTGAGTTGCAATCTGCAACTACAACGCTAGATGCCACTGAATCCTACACACTGGACCTTTATGTGAAATGACCATAAATAAAAATTTAATCTGATACAGTTGGTAATTAACTATTATAAAATGTAGCCAGTAATCTAATGCAGTATCACAATAAAGTAATGTAACTTATTACTTCCTGTTGCTTTTGGATTACCTCTATACCAAATATGCAAATCAAGACAAGAGAAAAGAAATGTTAATACAATGACGAAACCATGGTTTGTAGCATCAAAAATGTGTTCTCTGCTCAGTGTTTTTTAAAACAAAACTTGCTCTTTATGAAGCAAATTCAGACAGTAGTTTATAGATGATTTTCACAGCTAGAAGGCAGTAGTGTGATGTTGTTCCGTTTCTGCTTTAAAGACAAATTGCATTTCCACGCACTAGAGGAAATGATAATGAATTGTGAGACTGATTAATTGTTGCAATGTGCACTGTGCAGTATATCATGGTAGTATATCATTATTTAGTTTAAAATGTATTTTAAAATTGTAATCATGCTAAAAATCCCCAATTTTAGTCAATTTAGCTGTAATCTGAATTTTTTATATCCTGATTACACAACTCCATTGCATGAGCAAAATATAGCTGGATAATGGAGAGTTGAGTGTGTTGTATGCTGGGTAAGAAGTGGAACTGAGCTGTTGCATAAAGGCTTATATATCCAAAGGTCTTAATGCATTAAGTGGTGATGAATTGCAATGATTCAGAGTGGATGAATTGCATTGATGTGGAGTAAAGTAAAGTGTTAACAGAGTTCTTTCTAGGCTGGAGTTGAAGCAGCTAATGCTATCCCCCCCCCCCCCCCCACAGCTCTGACTTTCAGCAGGGCACTGCATTAGCCAAGCCAACACCATGGGACATCAATTCAATACCAAGTGCTTTGAAACAATCTAAGTGCAAGACCAGACATTGTTATGAACAAAAGCAATCTTCTGATAATCCCCGGAAATGGTTTTCTCAATCTCTTTGTCAAAGCACACAGAAATGTTATTCTGTTTGAGCTGGAGGGACTCAAGGGCAAAAACTTAAAACTTGTTGTAAAACCTTGTGAAAGTGGTAACTGTATAAATTCTGCTCAGAGCCTCTGTTGTGGGAAGTGTTTTTTATGCTGAGTGCATGCTTTCAGTACTCGAGAAAGCATCTTTTGCCTATGAGCTACAGACAACTACGAATCCCAGTTTTCAAGGCAAAGACTTTAACTAATCTCATAACAAATGCTTCTAGCTCCATTTTGGTCATCTATTCTTTGGAAGTCTATCTGAGTGTGAGTAATAAATAAATATAACTCTCAACAAGCTGTAATTACTGTGTGAACTTAATTGCATACAGGCCAAATCATGTTAAATCCATTATGTGATATACTTGACAGTTTTGATTCAATACCTTTCTAACTTCAGTTTGTTTTGTCATTGAAGACTCCTAACCTGAACAAACTCTAGGCTGCTGG